TTACAACGTTCATATTATAAATCAGGCTTTAGTTAGCGTAGGAGACATGGTTTATAGTTTCATGTTCTGTAATAAGTAATCTGAGGTACTGGCTCCACAAGACAGAAGAATGTCATCACTGTTGTAGATAAGAAAAAAGTATTTATCCATTGTGATGTTTTTTTCTCTTTATGTTTTTGATAAAGTTTTGGAACATTCAACTTCTTTGTGTCTCAAACTGTTATAAAATGAAATTATGAGAGAAGTTTAGATTCGATTAGATGAAACTTTATTAATCCCTCTGGTGGGTTTCTCCGGGAAATTCAGTAGTAGTTTAGTAGAACTGTCATCCACTTATCGGCATATAAAACATGACAAGCAGCTCAAACTAGATGCTGAGTATCAAAAAGGATGAAGATAATCTGTCTTAATAGTTATCATGTTTATATCTTTATTTAAAATCTTCTACATATTTAGCGTTTTTGCCAGACAGGTATAGTGGAGTAAATAATAATCATCTCTAATGAAAAGAAATATGCAGCAGAATAAAATGAAAATACACACATTTCACTGTTAAAGTTCACCTATAAAGGTTATTAATGTAAAACTGTGGATATATTATTATGCACATATTAGTAAAAATCTTGCACTACATATATTATGTGTTACCTCAGTGTAAAAGAGTCCCACTTAGATTATCAGTAATGTGCTGATAACAAGGATATTAGTACGTTACTGTTTTTCCTCTTTTTCACATTGTGTTACTTCACATTGTGTTACTGTCACACTACACTGTTGTATTGTCTTACAGTAGACTATTGGCAGAACCGTAAGGCTGCAAACTCTCATTTATCTTTTCCTTTCTGTCTTCTTTTTTAAATGAACAGTTTTCTACAGTTTTACATAAACAAACTAAATGTAACATTAAGTACATTAGGTTCATTTTATGGAATCAGTGAAGAAATCAGTGATTGCACACTTAAGATTTCACTTCACATGTTCCTCTTTCTTCGTCTCCAGATGAGGTGGCAGCTCTAAGGGAGCTGGTGGAGGACCTCCGCTCAGCGCTGCAGGGGAGCGATGCCCGCTGCCTGGCCCTGGAGGTGGCGCTCCAACAGGAGAGGAGCAGCACCCTCCCTTCTGCATCCTGCTACAACCCTACGGTTTCAAAGCCTAAGACTTCCATCACATTTATCCAGGGAAAACTAGTTCCAACTCAAAGAATTAAAGGACAGCTAAGCAGTGCTGCAGGAGACTCAGCAAGGAGAGTGGCAAGGAAACGAGATATCAGAGACCCACTTCTAAGGGAGCTGAAGCTGATCCGCTCCTCACGTGATGGGCAGCTGGAGGAGGCCATCAGATTCAATAAGCATCTGGAGGAGGAGCTGCAGTGGGCGTACCAGGAGGTGCGCAAGTTGCAGGGGGTGGAGGCTGCACTGAGGAAGGAGAACACTCAGATCAGGTTGGAGTTACTATTCATCAGTGGAAGGTTTTTAAAAGCTTGCTGGATGATATTTGAGTGGATGTAGGAGACTAGTGAGATGATCTTTGGTGATCTCCATCAGGAAGCGGGCAGAGGAGGCCAGGGAGGCTCTGAGCTCGGGGCTGCAGCAGGTTCGGCTGATCCAGGAGCAGGCCCGATCTGTGCCCCAACTCCAGTCCAGGATCACCCAGCTTGAGACTGAGCTGCACAGATACAGGTACCACGTGTGGTCATGAGCAGGTGAAGGAATTCAGTACATGGGTGTGTTTGTGCATCTATTTACACATCATTTGCTTGTGATTTGAAACTTGATGCCACAGGGTGCCCAGGTTAAGCTGCGCACAAGTTTGTGTCTAGGAGACCTTACGTAACCCCTAGAAAATAACATTTAATAAGCAACTTAACTTAGTTATGCAAAACCTGAGCATAGCAATAAAATGTACAGTTCTGATTATTATGGTACACGCATCACTTAGTTATTGCTATGCTATTAAATTTGAAATGTAATTGGTAAAAAACAAAACAAAAAAAACATCGGCCTCTGCTTTTTACCACCCTCAGAACCAGCTGCACGTGTGTCCTCAGCCCTGCAAGTCAACAGAACCAGCCTGAAGACAGTTACAGCAAAACAGGTGAGTAACTGAAAAACACAGATCAGTATGAGAGTGTTAGTGTGGTCTTATTGAGGCTCCAGTTACACAGGCCTAGAGACTGCTCAGTAACTCTATGGAAATCACTGGTCGCTATGGAAAAGTATGTATTCTGTAATTGTGGGAGGTTGTTTGCTGTCGCTAAGTGAAACTGGTCACAAAGAAACCAAAACCTTATTCCTTTAACAGTTGCCACAGAAGAGAAATCGCCAGTATTCTGCAGTCTTGGGCCCTAAGCTGTCTTTGATGACTGAAATATGCAGTTGCTCTGTCTGCAGATGCTGAGTGTCTGCAGAGGGCAGTGGAGGGAAGAGCTGCATCTGATGAAGAGGAGGAGGACAGTAGGATGAGAGAGGAAGAACAGCGCTGCCTGATGGAGGTGAAGAGGCACGTTGGACGAATGCACGGCTGTAGCAAAGGGTTAGCTAACATCTTGTGTTCATACTTGGCATGTTCTCTAATGTTAATCTGACAATTTGATAGCAAAAACAAAATACAGCTGGATTTCTCACATCTGTTCTACCGTTGAAGAATTCAAAAAACAGTTTTCACGACACAAAAATGATTGGTTTATGTTTAGGGTTAAGCAACCGAAGTCACCAAAGATGTTTACTTTTGACTTTGCACCAATAAGCTCAAACACATATCTTAACATTCACTCTCTACACAGACGACACTAATGGTAAATGGACTGGTTCACACAAGCACTTTTTTCTATGCAAGTGCTTTTTATCGAACATTCACACACATTCACGCTCTGATGGATGCATCGGAGAGCAACTTGGGGGCAGTAACTTGCCAAAAGATAGTTAACATGCAGACTGGAGCAGATAGGGATTGAACCACAAACATTCCCATAAGTAGGTGAGCTGCTCCTCCACAGCCTGTTTCTTTGGCTGGATTAAACTTTGGATATCTCCGTGTGGCGTGCATTGGGTCCTTAAAAAACTGAGAAAACTGGAGAAGTAGAGGGCAAACGAAGAGGTGGGAAGCCTAAAAACCTACAGCAGATGAACAGTCTCTGAACATATTCTTGAGGAATAGGAAAAAATCCATCCATGTTTGCATCTGGTCCTTCAGCTCATCCATCTGCTTTTTGCTGAAGCATCTCCAGTGGTCTAAGTGGTAGGGTGGGTTCCAAGAAGCCTTTCTTAAGGAAGAGAAAGAGGGAGAAAAGGCTGAAGTATGCCAGGTTACACAAGAACTGGACTGAAAATTATTGTAAACAAGTTTTATTAAATGATGAATCAAAATTGAAAATTTGAAATTTTCAGTTTCAGCAGCACTTCTAAAGACAACAGGGGGCACTTCTGTCGGAAAGGACCAAACCAAGAGCGGCCGCAGGGAGGCTTTAAACAAGCGGTGAGGAAAAGATGCTCTTGCTTTTTGTCAGTTTGACATATAAAGTGTCAGAAATGTATTAACAAAAGATCGTCTTTCCCACCATTTTTTCTTATAAATCATAATTTTTTACATTTGTGTTTCTAGATTTTTTTTATTTATTTTTTTGCCATAAATACACTTTAATGTTGGAGAATATCTTCCTATCAATATAAGTCTTGAATGTCCAGATGCCCAGTGCTGCTCATAGAGGATCCTCTGACTCTGAGGTCTTTAGCTTATAAAAAAAAAATGCACCTGGAAGCACTGAGCTTTTTTTGTTTTTAAACCCACCCAGTTTGAACAGGATTGTAATGGGCGCTTGTATTTCGTGTTCACTAGAGTCCCGAGGAAGAGGAGGAGAGGAAACAAGAGGAAAATGCGAAAACACGTCTGTCTTTGTTGGAGGGCAAACTCACTGATTCACTCACATTGCTGCTGCAGCTACGCAACAAGGTATTCGTGCATTGTTACACCTCATCAGCGCCATCTAGTGGTTTCTCCATTTCATTTTCTGTTGCCTACCCAGGTCACTTATATGTGTATTTGTGATGCGTTAAAAAGCCTCTGCTGACAGAGGTGCTGCTCATAAAAATGTATATAATAGTTTATATATAAATATTATATTCACTGTGTAATTAAGTTCATTTGAAGTAGGATTTTGGACCTCATATATAACATTACTACGCTTCCACCCCAACAAAATGAGCCTGTCATTAACTCGTGTTTATTCTGTTTAAAATTACACACAAAAAAATCAGGAATCTATGATTACTTAACATTTAAGTGATTCAGACCAGGGTGTAATCAATGTGCCAGTATACTGTTCTAAGCACTGGTATGACATCATGCTGTTTTGGCTTAGCAGTAGTCTTACAATGAGTGAAAACATTTGTTTTTTCTTCTAGAACATGTCCAGCAGGGGTCTGGGGAAGATGGTGATGGATACTTTGGATGTGTGCAGCAGGGGTGGAGCTGGTGCGTCTGCTCTGAGCTATCCAGTTTTATCCAAATGCTCTTATTTCTTAATTTTTGTTCATTTCTTTACTTTTTCAATAGCTTTTATTCCCCTTTCTCCGGGACCGTCCCAGATCCTGCAGGTCGCTGATTCTCTCTCCGTCCACTGATCCTCAACTGCTCAAAGATGGAGGAGAAAGGATGACGGAGGAGGAGGAGGAGGAGGAGAGAGCAGAGAGCAGAGAGAAACTCCTGCTTCTACCCTCAGGATATCAAACTAGCAGTGTCAACCCACTGCTCATCTCCTGCTGAGTCAGCTGTAACACATGTGCTGTATTGCATGATTAGCTTGTTTGCACCATGTAATTTTTTAAAGTATTTAATAACGAAATAATTTATGTAATTTAGTCTGCTAGTGTTTGATTTTGCATCTGTTTAGGTTGAATGGTTATTTGTTTTTACTGGACTTTTCTTCCATTTCTGTGAAGATAGAAATTCCAAGGCCATCTAATCTGAAACACACTCAAGCTGAAAAGAAACTCAAGAGACTCTTCAAAGAGACCAGTTCATCCAGCTTTCATTTACTAGTATAGCAAACGTCTACTAGACACATGTTTGGTGGAATATACTGTACTTCAGTGATTCTTGTATAATTATTGTCTCATTAAGTTGTGTCAAAATATATCCAAATACCTTTATTTTTTGAAAAGCTAATGTTTTCCAGGTTTCATTCTAATCAGATAACACTGAAAACCCCCATTAATCTGCACTGCTATCCTTGTGTCTCTTCTAATGTATCCGCTTTGAGTCTAAGCTTCCTTTGGATGATTTGAGGATAGTCAGAGAATATCAGGTCATATCTCAGGTTGTGTCAGCACACACGAGGTGTTATTCAAAGAACATCCCTCTATTTGGCAGCATTCATTCACCGTTTACGTCTGATCAGCCTCCTCATATGTGCTGCTAGGAAGTACCATCATCACGTGATGCCATGCGTCATTGTTCAGATGTTTTAGGCAGCGGCTGGACAGAAATAATGCTTGAAGTTATGGCTAAAGAGTTTATCCACCAACAGACTTCCAGATGTTTTAAATGCTGCTTGCCAAACTACCAGAGAGCTGTCAGGCAGCCTCTTACCTCACGGTAAAGGTCAAAGCAATGTAGTGCAGCTGAGATGGCATGTTCTCCGGACACTGCAGAGAACTTCTAAATGTCTGTTAGAGTCATCTTAACTCTCTGTGGTCACTTCCCTACTTGCTTAGTTACGTTTCAGGCAAAGCACGAGTACTGTTGGTTTAAACACAATTACTGTTCACAATTATTGATGAACTGTGCTTCCTGGGACACTGAAAGCTTTAGAAACATTTGAGAGCCTGGTCTGATGTGGGATTTGTCACAGTTTTATGGATAGCACCTGCAGACATCATTGGCCTTTATGGCTTAGGTTTTGTAAATTCTTCTTCTTCTATATAAAAGAGCTTCTTTCTACACTCTCCAGTCAGTCCAGTTCTAATAACAGATCAAGAGTAATTATAGCACCACAATTTAGATCACTGCAGCAAAGAGTCTAAATGTTTTTGTTAAGGAGAACTGTGTAACATTATCATTGTAGGCAGTGCAGTTTGGATTAATGTGGAAAAATGTCAGTTTTAGCCGTTTCAAATCAAATGTCTGCAAAGATTGGAGAGATGTAGGAGGTCTGAATACCTCCTGAAGCAAGTATAAAAAAAATGCATGTTCCTTGATGGCTAATTAACTGTACTAAATGATATGCTGCAATATTAATAACTGCTAAAAATGTAAAGATACACATCAGTGTGTAAAAGAAAATTATGCAATTTAAATAGATCTTTGGCCAAGTTTAGCAACCATTATATTTACAATGAATTGGGCAAAAGCACATGTACACACACACACACACACACACACACACACACACACACACACACACAGGGATGGTATGAAATAATATAGTTTATTTATTTTCAGCAATTTACAAAGTCCTGCAGGAAGAAAGCCTTCCTCCTGCCTCACAGAGGGAGGCTTTTACAAAAGGAACACACAGAGAACACAAAGACCTCAGACCCAGTAAGACTGTACATGTGTTTAAAATAATTTTGACATTAAGAGTCAAAAGCTGATATTTAAAGTCAGCGATGGCAGTCTGGGGGTCAGCGTGGTTCCCTGTGAGTTCAGGGGTTCAACGATTCGAAGCACTGAGGTTAACAAGGCAGCAGGTGGGTGGGGGGGTTTTAAAGGCTGGATATGTAAGATAGAGGGAAGGATACATCTGGATTCATAAGAAGACAAAGAACCAGAAAACTCTGTGTTTTCTTTAGGTGTGTTGGACTCTTTATTTCTAATCCCAGACTTCCCAGATGCCGTGTAAAGCAACTTGCTGGGGGGTCAACCAGCTTCCGAACTGAACAAGAACTGATCTCCACTGCAGCGTCATATAAAATCATTATTACATTACACATAATCAACATATTGTACAGTTGTTTTTTTGTTTTTGTTTTTTAAAATCAGAGCTAAATAAACCTAGTTCCTGATTAGTTATTCTGAATAGAGCTTGGCTCTGATTGGTTAAGGCCATTCTATGTCTCATAAGTATGCTTTCCCTGTGCGAGATAGGGCGTGTGAGGTGTGTAAGGACAGGTATTAGGCACTGTGCTAGTCATTAGCCTCACTGCAATTCTATCGCAGAGAGTGCAAAAAAGCTCTACTGGCCTTCAGCAAAGAATAGAACGAAGACATGGTGACCATGATATTGAGCCAAAATTAAAAATAAACAACCTTATATATAGAATAAATATAGTATGTACAATTTGCTTTGTGTGCTTCTAAAAATAAATAAAGCATTACATGCCCCATTTTTGAAGTATTCACAACTTTCCATTGACGTCGAGGCAGAATGCTGGCACCTGGTCAGTAAGAGAGTGGAGGGGTGGAGGGGTGCAACTCTTACAAGTTAAACACTGTAGAAAAGCAGACAAAACCAATGATGTCACTCCAGCTGTGGATGTGAATCCAGAGGACACACACAGGAGATGTACAGGTAGGAGAATCCCTGCAGTGCCCTCTGGAGGCGGTTTTGCAGATTACAGTACAATGTTGCATTTGACCAGCTTGGAGACAGTGTTTACAGTGGTTGTTTGATCAAATTCATGACAAAAAACAATAATAATGAAGCGTTAAGAAGAAAGGAGGCAAAGAATTAAAGGAAAACAAAGAAAAAAAATCACAATTTTAACATAATTGACACTTTAAAAAACATCATGAGATCAAAGATTTTAAACAGATAAAATAATCAAGTTTTGCACATTCACACCATGTTCCCTGCACATGCATTCTGCTGGCCCCCTTTGGAAACAGTTAAGTCAAGCATCACATGCAGGTTTCTCCTGGACTGACACCGGCACTCGATACAGTCTGTCAACATGGCTCACCACTTGCCGTTTCATTCTCCTCCTCACCTGCGAGCCCTTGAATACAGAGTTAGCTGATGGCAGATCAGTTGTGTGGATGTGGGGCACACGCTAAAGTTATCTCATTATGTCAATGACGATTAAAATGTGGTTAAATAGTATTCAGTTACTCCTATGAAACACTTTCCTCCCTTATTATCAGACATCATTTCAAAAACAAAAGGGAAAATACACACTTTGGCATAACTGGGGAAAAGTAACAACTAATAATGAATTCTGCCTCAGTGCTCAATCACACCAAGCACTAGAATGGTAACATTAGTCTGTACTCGAGAAAAAAAAGGTGGAAGAGTTTGGCATTTTGCAAACCAATGCAGTCAAATCAAAAGAAACAGAGCTACTATGTTACAAAGGAGTTAGTCAGTGCAAATATACTGTTTACAAGGCTGGAGAAACCTGCAGTCGCCGTTGATCTGAAAACACTACGTCCAGATCAACAGAATCAACGTTCTGGGATTTGTTAAAAAGCAGTTTCCTATTGACAATGTGATTTCACACCCAAATCCTATATTTGTAGGAAAGCTACAAACTATATTCACTTTCATAAAACAGCTTCTGCTTTGTGACTCTGTCCTATATACTGTGTCTTTCCATCTTTTCCTGTCACTTATTACTGACATAGGAAGCTTTTGAGAGTCTGAAAGAATCTCAACTTTCTTTCTTTTAAACTAAGCTAACAATTGCTAACTGACAGCTTAGATAGCTTAGTGAACTGTTAGCATCATGACAATAAGTTAATTAATTAACTTAATTAATTAACTTATTGTAGTGTTAAACTACAACGACAAAACTTTTTTTTTCTTGAATTACTCTTTTTTTTCTCGGGGGGTATTAACCTAACTTAGCATGTATTTCAATGGAAGGACAAAACCAGGTCTCCTGGTGAAATCTGCCCAAGAACAAGGAGCACAGGAAACTCCACAATGGCCGTATCCGTGTACAAAACCAGTTCTACTGTTACTATTCTATACTACAGAAATCTCCAAACCACATTTTTATTCAGCATTTTATAGTAGCAGAGGGTTATTGCTGGTTAGTGAGCTATGACTCTATGTGGGTCAAGGGTTAGAACTCAAATTTGCTGCATCTGATTATTGCAATTCTGCAGGAGATTTAACTGCTACATGTGGGACTTCACTGTGTAGTCTCACCGGGTTTTCAGGCAGAAGAATTTAGAATTACGAAGTATTTGGACAATTATGTTGACATTTGCATGAATCTGAATTGCCTCAAATTCTTTCCCATATCCTCCTATGACCTGACGCAGTTCCTTGAGCTGTCCCTTAATTCACTACTCTAACGTGGCCTAATTGCTCTGTGGGAACCAAACATTTAGTACGGCCAAATATCCACACAAAATATCTGCCATCATTACCTTTCATCTGGTGCCAGACTGAATACGAGTCAGCATAACCTGGCGGCCTGGCTAAGACAACTTAACACACTTTCAGACTCTGTCCCAACTCTGCAGGCTTGTTCCAGTGCACTACAGCGTGTTGAGCCTCTTGTCACTTACTGAAAGCCTGGCTTGGGAAACACCGCAACAAACGTTTTGTTTGTTCAGTAGAAAGTTGGCAGATGCTTACATACAGGGGCACTGGTGCTGTTCTCACCTGGAACCGCTCAGGGTACAGTTCGACCTTTGCTGACTTCTTGGCCCCACAAGTGGAGCTCCAGATTGATACACTCCTGACTGACAGTCACACAGCCATTACACACATATTTATTTTTTCTAAAGTGTATTTGCTTGTTTTTTCTGTGAATAAGGATGTTTTATGAGCACAGTTGGCCAACGATGGAAGCAGTGTAACCTGTAACCTGCTAAATAAACTAATTATGTGATTTCCAACACATCATGTTAAAACTAAGAGACGAGTCCATTGTTATAGTGACTGTCTGAAGTGCTGGACTCCCCTCAGGTCTGGTACTCCTTATTTTAAATGCCAGAAATGGGCGTGAACAGCTACGGAAAACAAAGCCTCACATCTTCATTTTCACACTCTGACTCAAATGAAGCCGTCCACCCATGGAAACAATGTTAAAAAGGGATTTAGCTAGTTGGTGGTCCAGTCTCCGATAGTGAAACCCCCTAAAACAGCTCCCTACTAGGAGGACAGTCCTATAGGTTCTAGTAAATCAGATTTTCCATTAGATCTCATATAATTATCATTCTATATACGTGAAGTAGCACTTGGTGATTATGCATTCTAGGCTTGTTTGGATGTTTTTTCTTTTTGCTGTCTTTTTTCTGTCAAGGTTTCAAGTGTTAAATGTTTTTAAAAACAAGACGGCGAATGTTCCCATTGAAAATAATGAGGACTGGCCGTGCACATAGAACAAATATCCATTCATATATCAGCTATCAAATGCATCTTTTTGAACAATAACAATCATTGTCAATGGTATGATAACAAAAGTGGAAGGACTCATTTATTAAGTAAAATAACGGTGGAGTAATGAATCCGTCACAGGTGGGGTTTTGTTGCGTGGTTGAGGTGAAGACATTCCATTTTCTCTAAGGTGGATTTCTGGGCTGCTGCTGAGCAACAGTGTCCTGATATCCCGAAGATGAAATGCTACGTGCACTACGTGCAGCGTCAGTCAGAGCCTGACAGGAGTTTAGCCCTTTCGTTGTAGATGTCCAGTTTCAGTGTTCAGGCAATGCGAGTGGTGTTCGTCACTGCTCGAGCGTGCAAGGATACAGTAAGGATTTAAGTTGTTTTTATGTGTGTGTGTGTGAGCGTGTATCTGTGCATGCATTCAGTTGCCCAAGTTACTGTCTCTGTCCCCGATGAACCAGCGCAAGTGGAAGCACAGGGCTAGGAAGCCAGTCCCCAGCAGGTCACCCAGGGCGGTCAGGTACGGGATGGAAAAGTTGTCAGGGTCCATGCCCCGACCCCACATCCAGTGGACCATCCAGTCTGCCAGGTAGAGGAGGATCATGACCTGAAGAAAGCATAGCCAAATTTAGTGAACAATGAGTTTTATATAATATTCGTATGTCATAATCAAGACGCAAGTATCAATATTTCGGAATTCCTCAACTTCTCAACGACACAATGTTGCAAAAATGATGTACAAACATATCTGTACCTGGAGTAGTGCAGCAAACAGGTAGAAGGTAATGAAGATGGGTGTGAGGGTGGTGTGTCCCCCCCTCAGGGAGTTGATGGTGTAGAGGAAGACGAGGTGCCCCGGGGCAACCAGCAGGAAAAGTACACGGGCTGAACGGGAGTTCACAGCTGGAACGGAGAGAGACGAACATGAGTTACGTACGAGGAGATAGCATGATGGAAAACGCTGGACAACACTGGGAAAGACACTCCTGTGAAGCAGGAACAGGACATGCCAACAAGGCTGTGTCATTAAGGTTATTTTTGTCCTTGTTTTCTTTGAAAATCTTTAAAATAGTTTTGTTTTTCATAGTTGGTTTGTTTTTTAATGGTTCCTTGACACGCTGTTGTGGTTGTTTTGTCTCTGTTGTTGTTTTCTGTCTCTGTTGTCAATTTGTGACTTCGTGGTTGTTTTTCCTTTGTTGAGGCTTTGCCGTTTTCTTTGTGTGTTAAATGTTTGTAGTTATTTTGTCTCGCTGTCCGTGCTTTCTCACTTTGTCTGTTGTTGTTTTGTGGGGTTTTTTTTCGACCTTTCCTCTGTTTTGCCTCTTTGTTGTCATTATTTTGACTTTAAGTTACTTACAATTTTTTTGTGGTCATTTTATGTCTGCAGTATTTTTTTAAATTCATTGTTATTTAATTGCAGTCATGATGCACCTCATTATAATTATCTAATGGATTTCCTGATATCAAATAGTAACATCAAACTGGGCCCTGCACGAGCTGGCTTGAAGGATAAACTATGAAGAAGTCCAACACAGTTAGGATTTCTTTGTATTTCCTGGCTTGATAAAACCTCAAGCCCAAGTTGTAGATGACGGGTATCACAACAGTGGTAATCAGCTGTCTCTGTTAAGCCGGGTTTTCTGCTTCAAGCTCTGTGTGTCCATATGAAAACATGCATTTGCCACCTACATGAGTAAGATCTAGTAAAATCTATGAAGTCATTGCTGCAGATAAATGTTAAACTGATGATTTAGTGCAAGTAAACTGTTTTATGGCTGACTGCACTGTCTTTTAATTTAATTTTAATTTTATTTATTTAGGACAGTGCATGTTAATGAACATAAATGTAAAAAAAAAAATAAAAATACATGAATGTAAACATGCCAGATTATAGCCAAAGGCTAATTTCCATCTGTTGTCCTTAAACATAAAAAAATAGACAATAATTCATAAAAATTCATCATTCATTCATAATAAAAACTCTATCACCAAACTTACACATACACACCATTCTGTTCCCAAATAAAACATTAAAACTATACAACTCATACATGATCACACACTTGATTTGTCCATAACCAGCACTGTCTGTACTGCTGTTTATTTCTGAGCGGACAGACCTGTGAAATTTTAAACTGGACCCATTGAAAGATTAAAGATTACTGTCCCACAGCTGAACAAAAGACATGGTTTTAGTGTGTGAGCAGATGAAAGTGAAATAACGTTATTGATTGAGCAGGTATTCCTGGTGCGTGTTTTCTATTTTAGTAGCTACAATTCCAGCGGTGTAAATAAGACTTAACCGCACATTAGAATAAAATAATTTTATATATTTTCTCTATAACCAAATGAATACATGCACATTCCTGTGACAATGCAACACACGGTTTGCACTTCATTCAGTGATTTTTACTAAGGTAGGGCTTAACAACTTCTACACTTCCCTAACAAAGAATCAGTATTGCTCTTAAAATACGCTGCAAATAAAAGAATCAGTGAAATCGCAGCACCTCCAGCTGACTTTAAACTAAACTCTGCGTATAGCCTGCTCCCGCCCAGGTTACATTGTCAGCATAATGTAAAAAAGAGTGACTCTTATCACACAGAAAACACTTTAAGCTCAATATAGCCAATAGTCTCACTTGTAATACACCCTCTGTATGGAAAAAAAACTGTTTGCATGAGATAAAGAGTGGACGGGGACAGTGGAACATTTATTCCACTGCTGCCTGATAACTTACTGGAACCAAAGAAGGAGGTGCAGGGTGTGGGACACTTCCTGGGGGTTGGGTTGGGATCCCCCATGGGTATACCGTTCATGTGTAGATAGGTGGAGATTCGACTTGCCTGAACTGCTACCAGGTTACCTCCCACACCTGGCACATGAAAACATGACAAACCAACCTCAGTACTAACAAAAACATTTCTCCAATCGAGTATTGTGGAGCTGGCCTTTAGCTGTGCAAGAGCACGGCGCCATGCCAGCTCCATCGGTTAGTATTATCGCAGTGCACATATGCTTCCTCTGGCAGGCATTAGTCAGTGTGTCACTGTTACATGACACAGATGGGTGAGCACAGCAACAGCTCTAAATACACAATTTAATTGGTTCCAACAGATTTCTCTGCATTTGTTGTTTTACTAGTTGGCATATTGAGGGTTGTTATTTCCACCTCTTTTGTACACTTTTGTTCTCTGACTGCTCACCGTTGATGACTGGAGTGAAGACAGCCATGCCAGCAAAGTTTGGGTTGGTGACAGTTTTGTCGAGGATCAGACCACCGACACTGAAAGACACACACAAGCAAAAAAGTGAACAAAAAGTGAACATACTGCTATTTACCATACAAAAACATGGGTAAACTGAGAAGAGAGAACTACAATCAGACATTTAAAACACTTAAGGACCGATCTGTAATCTCGTATACATGATAATCTGTTATCCCGTGGAACACATTGGAGGTCTTTACCAATATAAAGCATCTTGAGGAAACCCTTGTTGTGATTTAGCACTGTATAAATGAAACTGAATTGAATTATATAGACTGTAAATGTACTCAAAAACATATTTTTTATGTTTAAGTTTTATTTATTAATTTAATATATTCTGCTCAAGGATGGATTCAGCCCTGAGCCTGAAAAGAAAACCTAAGCACCCTAACTGTAGAGTCTTCCTCATTGCCAGCAGGGGGAGACTCCTGCGTGTGCAAAAAGATGCCTCATGGGGTTTTCTCCTGTTCTGAGGATCGGGGTCTGGGATGGTGTGGAGCCTAGGTTGTTGGTAGGCTCTGTGACATCATCGGTGAATACAGCAATAGTAACCGAGAAAAACAAAGGCATAATCCACATAAGCAAGCACATCCTACCTGCTGATGGCCATGGCGATGATGACTGGCTCCCAGCCGGAGTAAAGGACCTCTCTGGTGGATGGGATCTTCCTGGCTATCAGCACCCATAGTGGGCACATCGCCACAAAAACTGCACACACTAGAGGGTTGGCATAATCATTGTACTCTGAATGGGGGAAAAAAGATATTGATGCTTTAGTAGGAACATCTTTGTCATATTTCAACATAATAATTTTTTCATTTTTTAATTTTCTGAGAATTATATAAAAAACACCTTGGACGTGACTGAAACACAACATTTTGACTGTTTTCATTTGGATTACCGTTAAATCATGGCCTTTCCTGCAGAAGGCAGTACTTCAGCTTGACTAACAATGCAGGAGATTACAGGCTGGTTACAACACCCAGACACCAGCAGTGTTTGAGAGTGTCTAAGCCAAAATATCCCAAATAAGCTCAACAAGCAGCAGTGAGTAGGACTATAAAGTCTGTAGATTCTCTGACAGACTAAAGAGCTACAGGATTATTCCACACTGTGCGTGTCAGTGTTTGTCACTGTCTGTGGTGTGCAAATGATGGAACAGCAGGGAGCTCGATGGAGCTGGGTGTGCTGCTGGTGAAGATGCTATCACAGCGCTAACAATACAGCCACACAGCTGTGGAGTTTCTCGCCCCGGAACACAGCGAGAGTAGGTGTGGGCGGCTTTCATCCTTATTTACCAAAAGCAGAGCAACATTTCATACATTCTACTCATGCCGCTCCCTTTTCTTTAATAACTTCAAAGGTAAAGAAGACTCTGGAAGCTGTTTGATGGATCTACCAACTATCAAAATAATGTTGAAATGATTCTGTCGGAATTTGGAAGTTACCTTCAGTTGCGAATCAGAGGCTCAGTTTAAGACTGACGCACATGCGAGAATTTGAGACGGCAAGTGTCCACTATTCAGACCACCTAATTGAGCACATCCAGGTAAAATAATGGATCGCACACCTGTTTTCAAATGGAAAAAGCAATAAGATCTGTGGGTATGCTCGTCATTTCCGTTACCTAGCTCTTTGTAGAGTCCTGTTGAGATGCCTGCCAGCAGGGACAGGGTGATCAGATCTCCTAGGCTAGCAGCGATGGGCGTGGCTACATTGTCAGGGTTGATGCCGACTTTTCTGGATGCAACAATCACGCCGATCATGATGAGACCTGTGAGATTTTAGATCAGAGGCATCACAACACAGAAGGCAAGCAATGCTCTTAACTGTCCAACTATACTCACTTAAAAAACAAAAAGAGTTATTTTGATGCTTGATTGCTCAATTGGGATTCTTTTGTTTCCCTTAAAGGAACTGACTTTGGCAAATACAAAGCCTGGTTACAAACAGCATGTGGGAGTAAGAGCCAGCATAATGTTTCCGCATATCTAAAATGTTTAAGGTTCTTTCCTACAGCAACCACAGACAGCTCATGTTGGTTTATAGCAAAAACAAAACAGCAACAAAAAAACGGTTTTGTCTGAAAAACAGTTTCGAAAACAGCTTCACTCAAACGTAGTTGTTGAGCTGATGGAAGCCAGCAAAAACACGACGACTGCACCTATAAAGCAATCTGATGTTGTCAGCGTGGTTCCAGGAATGTGTGATCAGTCCACCACTGTGGTTCAGACTGAAAGTTCTCAACAACAACTGACATCCGCTGTCCCCAGAGTAAGAAACCTACCGACTCCGCTCATCACACAACTTTTCAGCTGGTGCTACTTTAAAGTTTGTGGGTTTTACTGAAATGCTCTTATATTTGCTAGATGGAGATTTGTGGTGCACACAGAATGAACCCTGGTGACTTATGAGGTTGGACATATTAAAGGTTTTTGTTCAGATATAACAAATAAGCACCTGGATATGACTTCCATGTACCTGTGTATAGATACCTCAGGATGAACTGTCATGTTTGTCACTTAAATGTTGATCTCACCAAAATGTTCAAATGTTTGCCATTTCACACTTTGTGTTTAGTACTAACCTGCATATAGCATGCTAACACACTGAGCTATGATAGCATGTTGGGACTATTATAGCAGCTACATCCAAATATTACACATTTAATCCTACATACTACAAAGGCCAGCAAAACATTGACCAGTTCAATCTATTAGAATTATCCAGATAACTAATACTTTAGTTTTATTTTAGTTTAAGGCATTTCACTGATTAGAGATAAGAGATTCTTATTTCTTCTGTGGATGCTGGCATGCTTATTTACACACAATTTATTTGCAAAGCATGTTTTCATTGCACTTTACTAATGCATGTACCATATTATACACCTTAGCCAAAGGCAATATTTTTTGTGAACTTTTGGCACATCATATGAAAGAAAATAACATAAAAAGTACCATAAACTCCTACTATAGGGGCTAACACTAAAGACGTCTTATCTAACTGATAGCAAAATGAGGTTAACTTATTTATCAACTCTTTTTTGTGTAGATAACTATGGTATATGGACTGATTCTCATATAGTGCTTTTCTACTCTCCAGGAGTACTCAAAGCGCTGTATACAACATGCCACATTCACCCAATCACACCAGCATTGTCTTCTAAGTGCTTCCTAACTACCGTTCATACTCCGATGAACGCATCGGAGAGCAATTTGGGGTTAGTATCTTGCCCAAAGATACTTGGCATGCAGACTGGAGGAGCCACAGATCGAACCGCCAACCTTCTGATCAGTAGATGACAAGCTGAGCTATAGCCACCCTATAGAGTGGTTCACACGTTTGCCTATCAAATAAAGAGCTGAGGTTCAAGAAGGAGGCACATGTGCCTTACGGTGGTGCCACGAAGGGCATCTGGTACTAAAGAAATCTGTCAAATCAAACTCGTGGAGCTACCTGCTGTGGTGACCACTTGTGAACAAAGAGGCCGCTAAATGTAGCTTCTTCTTCTTCTTCTAGTTGTAACTATCAAGAGCTTAAACAGCACTTGAGTGAAAAAGTCTTGCTAATGATGGCAAATTAGCACTGAGAGTCACATAAAATCCTGACGTGACTGATGAGTAGCACTGTGAACACCCCTCACTTCCCAACTGGTGACCATACCTAGCAGCAGAGAAGCGATGAAGGCGGTGGCCACACTAGAGGCACACAACAGCACTGCATGGTCCAGCTTGAAGTGTCCCTCTGGGATCCAGCCAAAGATCACAGCAGCTATGGAGGCCAGGAACCCCACTACTGTGGCTTGGACCTGAGTGAAAACACACATATACAGATTTACCATAAGATAGTTCTTGTTGCTATGACTCACAGCTAACATGTAAACTCCTGATGAATGATATTATTATGGCCCATATAAGCATATTTCAGTCAGTCCATATACAATTTTTGACCTCATCTTCTTGATACATACAGTAACATTACAGGCTCCTTGTCAAAGTCAAGGAGGGATTCTTAGCATCATCATCAAATACTGTTGAAGGGCTGGTCCATTATCTACCATCTTTCTAATTCAACCAAGGACTGAGTGGGAAGGAAGGTGTGTATTATTACTATTCTTACAGAACAATAAGTAAAGTTATCAAAAAAAGAAAGTTTTCACAGACTACACAGGACTATGTAGTCTGTGAAAATCTAAGATCACTCTTTCATAGGAATTAAGAGAATAACTAGCAGCCAAATACTGCCAACAGAATGGACTTGATTAACTGACCATCAGCAAATGTGAAATGTACCTCCATAAAAACAGAATCTCTGGCTGTTTGCTGGTTTGGGGCATTCACATGTATGTTAACACAAAGTTACAACCTTCCCAGGAGTGGACGTTCCTGCAAATTCATCCCAAGGTCAGACCGTGCAGGGCTCGAAGAAACAGCAAGAAGCTCTAGAAGGCCTCAGTTTGCATGTTAAATGTTACAGCTCATGACGGTACAATTGAAAAAAGACTAAATAAGTATGGCTTGTCTGGGAAAGTTCAAATTCAAATTCAAATTTGAAAAGCATCTTCTCTCTAAAAAGAAAATGGCAGCGTGGCTTAGAGTTGCAAAGTTGCATCCAAACAAACCACACAACTTCTGGAGCAATGTGCTTTGGACAGAGCAGACAAAAGTGGACATGTTTAGCAACAATACACATTGCTATATCTGGGAAATCTATCTGTCCGTCCACCAGATAAAACTTGGTCAAAAACCGGGTCTTGCAACAGGAAAATCATCCCAAGCAAGCCAACATATCTTCAAGAGAACGGCTGAAAAGAACCCAGTCAGAGCTCAACCTGACTGGATGCTGTGGTGGGACCTTAAGAGAAAGGTGACAAAGACTGTAAGGAAGAATGGTTTAAAATTCCTCCACAACAATGTGACAGACTGTTAAATTTACACAGAAAACAGTTACCTGAAGTTATTGCTGCTAAAGGTAACCTGTAAATTGTAAATACTGTAAAACTTTTTTTTCCTGTCATTTAATGGTCGGGCATTGTACAGCTACAAGCATTTCACCCCCATGTCATACTGTGTATGGTTGTGTGTGTGTGACAAATAAAATTTGAATTTGAATTTGAAAGGTGGTATCTTCACAATGCTAGTATTAATGTTAGCGTAGCATGCCTCCCTCTTGTCTAAATATGGTCACTTCTGGCTCCAAAAAAAAAAAGAAAAAAAAAGATAGTGACTGCCATAAAGGTAAAGTGGAGGCTTGAGTGTGGAGTTCATAAATCAATGAGTAATGTCACGGCAGCTATGGTGCACACTCGCTATCTGTTTCAGTGTGAGTTCTCAGAATCATGTGAAGCAGTTTCCAGTGTAACCACCTTCGGAGAGCACCACTGTGACCCAATGTGAGTGCAAGATAACCCTAGATAGAAAGTTGTGACAGCACCGGCCAACACTGGCTTAGTGTTCCAGGAACTATGGACTCACCAGGTATTATATAAGCTCAACTATAAGCTCACATCACTGCAAACTACTAGGGTCGGGGTCCGTGTCACGAGAGACCAAACAAAGACTTTAAGCAATAAAGAGGTTTTCATGCCTTTGTTTGTGTACAATAAATAAAACACACTGCAAACTAATATAAAGAGCCGAGTACATGCAGCTTGGCTGCAGTGAGTAAATCAAGCACAAAATAGACCATACTCGACTGACATGTCTGTTCTGTCTCGATCCTTTTGAACGTGACGTCAACCCCTAACTCTTTTACAAATGTTACTGTGCTCTGTAGTGACTGGTCAGTGTGTTTACTGTGTGCAATAACTCGTGCAACAAGCTTTTCCAGACAGGGTGGTAACTGGCTTCCTGAAATGTGACATAAATGTGAAACACTGTACATTTGGGTTAACCCTCTCAAGGCAGGCGATGCAGATTTGCAACAAGTAAAAGCTAACAACCTGATTACCCCACATACATATTTTATGAGTTTTTTTTTACTCAGAAGTACCACTGCAGGTATTCTTTTGTGCATTAGCAACAAAAAATTAATTTGAGCCTGAGAGGGTTAAAGGACAGACTGTATTATGGGGACCACAATTTACAAAACGATCATCTTGCTTTATACAGTAAGGCTTTAAATCGGTGATAGGAACCATAAACACATCAGAAAAGGGTTTACTGAGGTAGCAGAGCAAACCTAGGAGCCTTTTTCCTCTGAACTCCCAAATAATTTGACTTTCAAGCTTGACGGTGACAGTAATAAAATTTGGAGTACTTGCTGAGAATGCAGATTTTGCCTTGTTGATTAGGACGTTTTTGTTAATGGGAAAATTTTTCATTCACAAATGCAGATACTTTAAAGCTAAACCATGTATAAACAGATGGCTGAATGACTTTAAACTCTGGGCTAAATCGCTGAAACTTGTGAATAACAAGAAAGCTCATAAACTTGTTGTTTTATTTAACGAGTTTAATCTATGTTAAAAAAGAAACCTCCCTATTTTATAATCATGACCGCCCTTTTTTGTTCATGTAATTTTTTGCCTTTGGTTCAAATCCTGCAATGACTGTTCTTTCTTTTTGTGCTAACTCTTTTGGCTTTGTGTTTATTGTTTTTTGTTTGTTTGTTTGTTTTCTTGCTATAATGCTCAACCGAGGATATTACATATTCAGATTAATGATGGTGCCTTGTATGTTATACTGTTGTTTGTAAATAAAGTTCTTAAAAATAAATAAATAAATAATAATAATAATAAAAAGATAAATAAAAAAAATTTGACTTTCAAGCAGAGAAATCTACCCCCTGGTGGCCATCAGAAACACTGCAAGCTTAACCTGTTAACATCTACCAGTCATCTGTGGCCTGTTCTCATCTAGATGCTTATATAGATTTTTTTTTCCTGCATGGCATTAGTCAGTGGTAATCCTACAACCTAGTTTAGGTGCATGCAAAAGGGTTGATTTTAAAAGTTACAGCTAGTTTTGGTGCTTGTTTAGCATGTAACTAAAATGCAAACTGATCCTAGTCCTACCGCGAAGTGGTTCAGCAGTGACCTGATGAATGTTAAGCTGTTAAGGCATTGCACTGACCTCATTTTAAACCCATCTTTTATATTCAGTTTCAAAATATTTTGATTTCAGTTTGAGATTTTTTAAAACTTTGCTGCTGCTTTGAGTATTACTACATGATTCCACTAGTACTATGATGCATTTCAGTGGTCTCATTATGTGACTGGTCTGTTTCGTGGATGTAATCATGGTTGAAGATGCTCCGTGACAGCAGTCTTCATTGTGTTTCCTGTACCTGGATGAGGGCCAAGTTCCCCATGATCATCTTCCACATGTCCTTGGCTGTGTCCATGTGCCCAATATTAGCCTGAAAAACACATAAGAACGAAAACGTTATCATGACCGTGTGTAAGTAGCTGTGTGTGTTTGTGGGTGCGTGGGGGGATACAGAGTGTTCACAGACTGTTGCCTCTTGGTCCCATCAGAACAATAGGGCGTCAGTTCTCTGGACAAAGACACTCTGATCTGATCCCCCACCCTGCGGCCGACTCCACTTATCTCATCTCTCCTCTTTCACATACACACCCTTAAACACACGCACACACTGATGGTCTTGTGCATCAAGTGGCTACAGTGGCTACAGTGGGCTACTGTGAACCCAGATCAATGATCCTAATGGCCATCCACAGTGAGGGGACACAAACAGACAATCTCCTCTTCCTCTTTGTCCTCGCTCGTTTGCATATGCAGAAGGAAGGGAGACAGCTGGATACATGAAAATCGCTCGTGAGGACATCACTTCATCCTTGGTTCTTCATTGAAAAGTGTATGAACTGCATGATCCCACTGCATGACTCAAGATACCTTCCAGAGCTTTAAATATTTTGTGTTACCTAATCTGTGAATTTAGTGTAATACCACGTGAGATATGGCTTTCACCTTTAATTTTGTCTCTAACGTTTATCCTCTGCCAGAGTGTTTGTCAATCACTCGTTAAAGTGATTTTCCCTGAACTTGTACTAACGTTTCTACATGAATAAAGTTTAAATGATTGGTGAAGATCCACAGCCGAACCCATAGAGATGCTTTCACCAGTAGGCGTGTGTGTGTGGTTGGTATTGTGGTGGTTTGATTCAGACAACATAGCTTCACAAAGCACCTGTGTATACTCTTCTAACTGACTGATTAACTTTTAGGGTTGTTAGTTGTCAGGTATTTCCTTTATAAGTGCAATCTATTCTACTTTCTTTGTGTCCCGAGTGCGAACTTGTGAGAACAAATCAGAGCTCAGAGATTTAAATAGACGCTAGCTGTAATAAATCTAAAAAAAAGAACATTTGCGAAGAGCTACTCAAAATGGTTTAACAGAAAATAGCATTGTCCAGTGGCTGGTGGTGTTATTCTGGTGTTGCAGACAACAAAGCACTGTTTTATCAAAAGCATTTGTGCGATTGGTGTCTGTCTTTGGCTAATGATCCACAAAACACCTCACAAGTTTTGGTTGAGATCAGACAACTAAATGTTCCAAACACGGGAACAACTCTCGTGTTTATGGCTGCTAGCTTATTTGACCTAACAATACACAGACTGGAATTCACCCGCTCTGCCTATCAAAGGCAAACCCACATACCAAAGTATTTAAATGAAAAAACAAAACAAAACAGGATTGAGAAAAAGCAGGATGGTCTCTATGCCTCAGTGCGTCCGTGTGAAGCATTACTCATCCTCTTACATTTCACATAGTCTTGCAGCATCCAGTTAATCTGGCACTAAAACAACTGGTCTTACATGACAATCAAGTTTGCAGCAATGTGCGTCAATATAACTCGTGCATCTGCCAGACACGAAGCATTAGAGTCACGAACACATGCACCACGCCCATCAGTAAGTATGTGCGTGCACGCCAGCTGCTACGACAGTCGTGCTGTCAGTCAGGGTGGGAAGATGGCCACGAATGCTGATAAAAAGGTTTAAGGCAAACAGATAAAACTGAGCCAAACAGCTGTGCAACTCCACATATGACTTTCCTTAAAACCTTGGAGCGTAATATAAGAGCCTCAGTTTCAAAGAATATATCTTGATGCAATAAAAGCTACGAGGCTTTTGAATTTCCTAACCACATTTCCCTTTAGAACAACATGTAAACTGACAGAGTACACAGACGACACACAGAAATTCTCAGAAACATAGCCTGGCGTTATGTGATGATGTGTGATAATGATGCCAAATCCTTAGCTCTGTGTGTGTGTGTGTGTGTGTGTGTGTGTAGGAGGCTGGATTAATGGTGTTGGGATCATCAGAGAGATGTTAAAGTGATTCATAGATGACATAACATGGATATCCTAAAATTCAAAAGCAGCACCATGTTTTTGAGCTGCTGGTATTCACTCTTATTTAATAAATACAGAGCAAGTCTGCAGTTTCCAGCTCTGAATCCTGAACATACATGAGTTGAGTATACAGGGAAACAGCGACTGTTGTTGCCACTGTAATCTCTGATAACACTTTGCAATTTTTCCCAACTTTCTTTGCAATGCAGGTGGTGCTGGCAATCCATCAACGATCATACATAATCAATTAGGCCCAATTATATTCAACAGAACTGAGAAAACAGCTGCTTATTTCCTCATTCCTTAATCGCCTCAGTAAATAGGTTAAAAAAGTCCAAAGGGAAAAAAATCAAAAAGGAACCACAGTCATGTGAACTGAAAACTCCGACAGCCAGCCAGTACTGGGGATTACATGATTTTTTTCAGTTATAAGCGCATTAGGAAACTTACAGTGGTCTTAATCTGCTCATAATTAGCGGCGGCGTGGAAAGAAACGTGGTCCTGCTGAGGCCAGCCAGCAGAGAGCTAACAGTAATGTCTCAGGACAAGCACCAGGGTCGGGCCTACTTTGTGAAGATGGATGTGAGAAAAGTGAAAACTTTGCAGACTAAAGAAAGAATCGATGCAAAAGTCTGTTTTATTTATTTCCACGTAGATGCATGTAACGTTATTATGACTAATGCATTTTGTGTTTTCATTACTTTGAATACAGCCAATCGAACTACACAACGTTGGTTCAATCAGTGCTGAAGCTCTGACAAATCATTACTACTTCCACTTCCCAATCTGACAGTTATTAACCATTATACACTGGGCTCTGAATTAAAACAGAAATAAAATAGAAAGTAAAGCAAATCATTACAAAAATCTGTTGAAGTTTGAACCTTAAATCAGCATCAACGGTGTTTCCTCAAATATTCAACTTTTCCCGTTTGTTTTCCTCTATCGTTGGGCTCTTACTGAGAAAATGTGGAAATTATAAATATATAAAACCTCTGCAAAGTGCAGTTTTAAGTAGTGCACCTGCAAATCATATTCAACATTCAATTCTGCATTTGAAACCTTTGCTGTAGCCACCAATTCACAGGTTTAACCAACTGGGGTATTTAGGAGGTGATGACATAAACAAGATTTAAAGATTCAGCTTTAGCTTGAAGCAGAATGAGATGAGATGAGATAGCCTTTATTTGTCAGTTGCAGGTCTTTTGCCCACAACCGAGATGACAGACCTTGCCGACCGTACATACAATACACAAACATCACATTGGGGAGACAGGTCAGGCTAGGTAGCGAGGAAAACATCAAAATGTGTAACACAAAAGGATAATACAGAATGAGTTAGTACACTGGAGCAATTTTCCAGAACAAATTTGCAAACATATGACTTTTTTTTGCAGCGTGGATAAGAAGTCACTGGTTTCCCACAGGCTAGTGGAAAGAATGTGAGGATTGGTGCAATTAAGAGCACTACTGGACTTATTAAAAAATGTACGTTTTGTTGCTAACCCCTGGTTACCTGCTAGCTATGTACAATGTGAAATGGTATTGTTAGCTCACAGATAGCAAAGCAGTAAGAATTGTCTTTAGTATCAAACTGCAGTCACAGAATCACTGCACCTTCACAAACAAAAGCATGTGACTGTATACATTTGGCTATGAATGGCTAGATGGGTAACTAGCTGAAATTAGAGCTACTAAGAACTTTGGTATCTGTGAAACACTATAAGCAGCTAATAGTTAACCAAATGTTATATGACAATATGTTATTAAGGTTTCACGTTATGTGACTCCTAACCATGTGACGTTAACTTATTTTTATTGTGGGTGTGTGACAACATAGGGTCGAGCAAAGTAGCAGTCACACAGGCCTAGAGAGCAGCCCATCACCCTCTAGCAACTGCTGGTTACAAGGAGCAAATAAGTGTTCTGCAACCAGTTGGAAAGTGGTTGCAGAACAATCAGTGTGTATTCCTGAACGGTTGGTGAAAACTTCCTTGCAGTTGCTATCGATTTCCATGGTACTGACGCTGTGAAAATTGCGACACAAACAGGAAATGAAGACCATTTGCCTTCAGCTTAATTTCACCTAGCGAAAGGCAGCAACCTCTAGCAAAAACTCCTCAGACAATTGGAAATACTCATTTTTCCCTCACAACTGGTGGTTTTATGAAGTCCAATATGACAGAAAGTTCATGTCGCATTATGCAAGAAAGCTCTTAAATTATCTCCCAGCTCCAACAGTGATGTGAAACTGGGTTGAGCTATACCAACATATTCTGAGAATACAATCAATTTTTAGCTACTAGATCAAGGGAAAACATTTTTAGTTCAAATTACTTGATATTTGGAGTTCACGTCTTCAGGCAGAGGTAAAAAACTTCCATTCACCTTTAAACAACCTGCTAACCCAGGTGAACAAGCTAGATGGGGTCAGTGGAAATGTTTAGTGAGGAATGTGAGGAATCAGTTTGTCTGAAACCTATGTCACAATATGACCTCTGAACCTACACACAATCAGCTTTGAGGGGTCTGACAGTGACCATTGGTCTGGCAATAGATTGAACAACTATTAAAGAAAATTCAATGCAACTTAAAGTAAACAAATCCAAAATTTATACCTCAGTTACTCATCACTGCTAGGACAGCCTTTCAATATAAGATAAAAGGTCATGGAAGACGTGCAACCTGTAACAGGCTAGTAGTCTGAGGTGGAAACAAACAAACAAGTTTCTTACCGCTGTAGAAAGTCTGGAGGCCAGCGTCATCTCCAAGTTGCCTTTAAGCCCCAGCAGTGCAGGAACTAGGATGAACACCTCAGACACATCGGTGAACACCGTCCAGTGCTGCAATGACATAGCAAAACATTATTATCAGCACCACAACATTAACACAGCGCACACTCTGCCATACTGAAACAGGTTCACGGCCACACAGAATGCTGTCACCCGCATAGACAGAGGTTAGCTGCAGTTCGGAGCAGACTGTCTCTGGGTCTGTGCAACCTTTAATATTGATTTAGAGGTGAAACAACTCCTGCATTAAAGAGCAGAAAGTCTGCCTCTATAGACCATTCACACTATGTATCATGCCAGCTCCCTCTTAACAAGAACAAGGGCAGTAAAACCTAAAGCTGAAATGATTGATCACTCTCCTACTTTAGCTTGCATTCTGTTTTCCTTCTCTATCACCTTTACCCACCATCTCCTGTAGCGTAAACACAGGGACTGTCTCATGTTTCTGTGTAATCATAATACTATACACATTTATATTTATATCAAAATCTGTACTGTACAAGATATTCCAGAATAAAAGCAGACTGCAATCTCGGTATTTTTTCACCCCAACCGGTCGCAGCAGATGGCCCCGCCCCTCCCTGAGCCTGGTTCTGCTGGAGGTTTCTTCCTGTTAAAAGGGAGTTTTTCCTTCCCACTGTCGCCAAAGTGCTTGCTCATAGGGGGTCATATGATTGTTGGATTTTTCTCTGTATCTATTATTGTATGATCTACTGTGCAATATAAAGCGCCTTGAGGCGACTGTTGTTGTGATTTGGCGCTATATAAATCAAACTGAATTGAACTGAATATTTTTTGATGGGCGGAACCAGATCTTGTTCTCCACACGGCCGTTTCCCCATCCAGTGCCACACAAATGGAAACAGCTAAACAGCATCAGTAAGATAGATGGGACTGAATATTTAGAAGCCAAGTGAACTAGATGATTAGTAACTCTTAAAGGCAAAGCATTAAGTTAATTTCCAGTTTAGCTGTTTTAGCTCCCTCACATCTAAGCCAACTCTCTTCTCATTGGTTAAAGATACCCAATCTCATTGATATCATCAAGCAAATGCTAAACCTGAACACTGTTATGACTTATAGGATTACTTGTACATATGGTACTCTGATTATCTGAAACTTTGCCCATATTTAATATGAGCACCACTGTAATCTATTATATAGTATGCATAAGATAGAAAATAAGGAAAAGCTAAATATTTCTCAGTGCTCTGCCCTCCTCATGGGGACCCTCTGTGACACATAACACAGCATGAGTGTACAAAACATCCGACTGAATTAATAGAGTAAAGCCAAAGCCCACTGCATCATGTACCATAATAAAAATAGTTTGATATTACTTGTGCCTACTTTAGTGCTTCAGCATCTGGTCATTCATTGCCAGGGGTGCGCTTGCTTGCTCAGCTCTTACCGCAGCATAAAAAAAGCTACATTTTGCTGTACACACTACTCCGAGAAAGTCAGCCAGCAGCTCATCTATCTAAATCAGCTTTGAAGGTAGTGGACTAGCTGGACAGAGCCACAAATAAGGGAACGAGTGAGGAACAAGACTGCTCAGCTGTGTATCCAGTAGATGGTCTGAAATTACATTTACAGCTAGTATTATTAGGCCTGACCTTCGATAACCTGGTTCCTGGCTGCTGGCCAGTCCTCGAGAGGTGGGTTCCCTGTAACTCCCTCTGTGAACTTCTCCCTCCATTAGACTTCATGCAGCGATAGCAGATTTGCGGTCTACTGTGGCCAGAAACAAAGCTATTGCTGAGGCTAAGGCCATCGATTTATCTCCAGTCAAAGTGCTTATCATAGGTGCCGGTCCCACTGGCTCCCAGCACTTAAAGTCCAGTCTAACCCGAGCGGAATCAATATTCACTGAGGCTGACACCGAGCAGAAAAGAAAGAGGGGAAAACAGATGCTGAAGCTGCAAGACAACACTGCTGGCCTGCATTTCTCACACAGAGGTCTAATGTGTGTGCTCGCTAGGTTGCTCCCACCAGATGTACAGCACTGATAAGGAGTGCCGCCTACACTCGTACGCTCGTGTTGTCTTTAGAGGTGGTGGTTGAACTCCTTCGGCCTATCCCTTTAGCTGTCGTTAAGCCAAGCAGAGCTCGTTTCCAACAACCAGCCTCTCAGCTTGGCTCACTGCCCTCTGCCAACCCGACAGCCTTGTGAGCACTTCTCTCTTCTTTCATAGCTGTATGTTTTCAAGCTTTCCTTCTGTCTCACTGGCCTATCTTCCTCTTTGCCTCCCCTGTGGTGATATATGTTGTTGTCTCCATGGAACGCTGGCTCGGAGCCAAACAAACCCTCCCTCCTCGCTTCTAAGAACTCGACTGGAGAACCGCAGTACCTCTGTGTACAGACCTATAGGAGCTCTGGTATGCAAGCCCCGCAAGGGTCAGGATGCCCAGTTGAGAAACGTGACCTTTTATTTTATTTGTGATAACTGTACTTGCTGTGTTGAGCGGGACGCCGAACCCCGATGGCATGCAATGTCAACGCAACTCCAGCAGCGTCACAGACACTACAGCAGGTGGTGTCTGTTTCGTTTTTCTGTTGCTGCAGCATGGATGGTACAGTCAGGGTCTAGTTTATCTGTATAAGCTAATATCTGCATTTAGATAAGAAGAATATGTAGGGCAAGCTACCAGAGGAATCTGTAGTCTATATGTAGTTTTACCGAGCAGGTTTTGGCTGCATGAATGGAAAGAGTCCAAGTGGGGAGCAAAAGAAAGTCAAAACTCCATCTCAAAACCATCAGCTATCATCACATGGTAAATGACCTCTTTTTAGATTTCTATGAATTTTGAAAGGAAAATCAAACACAGTCCCCACAGTTCAAGTCGGCAACCTAGATAATGTTTTCGCAGGCCTGAGCCTGGTTCTGCTGGAGGTTTCTTCCTGTTATGAAGGGAGTTTGCTGCTCATACAGGCTTGTATGATTGCTGGGGTTTTCTATCTACTATTGTGGAGTCTTTGCCTTACGATACAAAGTGACTTGAGGCTGGTAATGTTGGGATATGGTGCCATATCAATAAAACTGAACTGAACTGAATTGTTTGGGACCAGATAAGAAGGGCTGGGGTGGAAAGCCTGAACTCTGTGATGAGGGGGGGGGAGCAAATAAGCAGCCTAGGATCAAAGGTTCCTCAGGATCTTTCACACTGTGAAAGATTAATCAACACAAAAGCACTCTAACCCACTAATCCTGTCCATCCCTATCACTCACATCCTAACCAAGCAGCTATCTGGGATATGGTCACGTTTTAAGAGCTGCGAGCTGATAACATTGTTAATGACCGTCACGTCATCAACGCTACAAGCAAAAGTAACCAAAATAAAACAACTACTCATAACAAGCGGTCGGTCACTGCAATAGGGAGGGCAGAAGTTTAGACACATATGCTTACATGGGGTTATTAAATTGTGATTTTTAAGATTTTGTTCAGACAAATTCTGGAAAAAATAGAAAAATAGCATACTGTGGTGTGAATTTAAGTAGTGTCTGATTAAGCTATGGAAACCAAAGTCTGGGTATGAAGCTAGAAGCTGAAGAGACGATTCAGTTTGAGGGAATTAAGCCCACGTTCTGGTTTCAAAGTGACTCCTGTGTGAAAACCAAGCAAGTGATGTGGTTGGACCAAAATGGTATCTGGTGGGTAGTGAAGGCTTGGCCAGAGTTAAACCTTTGTGTGGACTATGATTTCCTGTTTACTGGCTGCTGTATTTTTAGACCGTGTGTCTTTGAGGCTGAAGCTGTGTTCTTTTTCCTCTTTTTTGGTGTTTCAGTCTACAGACACCGCACACCAGGCCAGACGGCTAACTCTGAGGCAGGCAAACACACGCGGATGATTATCATAACATACAACACTGGACACGCATATTTGCTTTTGTCTTTTTTCAGCCTTTTGTTTGTAGATTGATTGCTCAAATGATGAAATCTTATGTGACTGTGAGTAAGTGTGCGTGTGTTTCAAAATAACAAAAATCACCCATTTGGCCTTGGACTCCGACATCCCCAAGAAAACTAGCACTGCGTGACCTTTCCAAACCACACGTAACCTTCAGTCCAACTGAGCAGGTCAGTCCTGGGTTCCCGGCCCTGCCAATGAGAGACTGACAGTTTTAGGTCATTTGCCTGCCAAGTCACTAAGCACAACTATGCAGACGTCTCACTCCTCTATACCAGTTGGACAATCCTTTCTGGGCCAACCTTGTGAGGGAAAAAGGCCAGAAAACTCTGTGCGTGTGTGGTAGATGGTCAAAGTGACCAGGATTTAAGAGGTCAAAGAGCCAATATAGAAAGTGACACAGAAAGTCGAGTATACAAGTGTCCAAACCACAGCTTTTAAACTCGGGCCAGGCAGACACATTAACTAAAGGTTCAGGCATCCCAGAAGAAAAACTTGCTACTGGCTATAGTGCTTTCTTTGTCTCATAACCAATATATCATCTTTGGAGCTGGAGATTACTGAGTCCTGACCTTTTTATTCTAACCTCCAGGAGAAATAAGGGGTAAACAAATGAACCAAAAGAACAAACAAATAATTCTGTCTAATTTGAGAACAATCCAAGAAACACAAGAACAGCAAGACCCAAATGACTTTGAATTTTATCCACAGAGAGAAACTTCTGAACTCAGGCGAGCTAGTTGAGTTCTCCTGGATCACTTTATCTCATCTGATAATCAAATAAAGATCTGTGCTTTACTTGTCTGCATAAATTAGCTCCTTATTTAGCGAGACAAATAAAGATCAGTGCAGCAAGAAAACAGACCTGCCTCGTGTTTTAGCATCAAGTTAAAACTTGTTCTATTCACGTTTTGGCAATCAGGAGACAAAAAAAAGAGTTTTCCAACACGAGAAACTACATCTACTTTTTCATCAGCTTCATATACATTAGGTATTGGGGCTCGACTTAACCCTAAGCATGTGACCTCAGAAAGTTATGCTCACTTATAGCCGAGGATCAACTGCAGTCCCAACGAGAGAGAGAGAGAGAGTGAGATAGAGTTAGACAACTACCTTCCTGCAAGGACAGGGGGGATTAGCTGAGTTAGCGTTTCATGGTGTCATGGGGGGAATTAGGCAGCCAGACGACCTGCTGGATGCTCAGCCGACCTCAATGGAACTGCAGTGAGAAGCCTCGCATCTTACTGCAGCCATTTCTTTCAGCTATTTACTCTCAGGTACAAGAGTGCTAGACCAGCAGGGAGGGATACGGCCCTCTACCTTCTGTGTGAGCTTGTTTCCAGTCACACCTCTGAAAGAATGGTGCACTGAGTGTTTTGGAAATTAAAGAGAACACAGCAGCATGGTGCCTAAGTTGAGGCAGCATGAAAACTTTTTTGACCTCAAACCTCTGCATTCCTGGTTTAGCGAGGATACCTAACCACATGGTAATAGAGGCCTTGGCGCTGAATTGTATTTTGTTTTTACTCCGACTCTAGCTCAGCTGTAGTACGCTGCCATTTCAGGTGCTCAAAGAAAGTAAACTTATTCCCCCGCCTCCCGCCTCCTGTCTGTTCTGAGTTCCTGGGGTCCACCATGTTGGCATCAGCGTGTGTGCACAGTTTGCCCAGACCTGGCGGACTGACACGGCCGGCTTTATCTGCATTCCAAGCGGACTTCAAATAAATATATGACCTGTCAAAATGACAGAGCACACTTGGATCCTCTCAGAACAAAGGCAGTGACTCATCAGTCCTATTCTTCTTTAAAGGCCGAGTGGATCATATAGCTCCCCGGCTATGCACTGCTATGCAAATACCGTCTATTGTTCCTTGTACTTTATGTGAGATTTTGAAAAGAGGTGTGTGTGTGTGATGACTCGTTAGAAGACACACCAGTGTGTACCAGTATGCGCCAGCCACAGGGACAGTCAGCCCAGCCGCTGAGGAGAAAATGTTATGTAAATACCCCCACGGTGTCTGATAACTGCCCCATACACACATCCCCAAAGACAGGCAACCAGATAGGCCACCAGCACGATGACTGACACACGCCAAGGCAAACCGGCCTTGTGCACTAGATCATTCAAATGTTTCACGTGCGAGCCTACCCCATAAGTGTGACTACACATGGCCTGCTTGGTGCAGTGGATCTCCTGAGAAAAACAGCTGTGAAATGAAATGTAAATGCCTGCGAGGAAAAGTTGGGGTTGTGCATTGACACCAGACTTTTTGCAAGTTCCAACAGCCAAACCCCTGTCAATGCAAAAAACAAAACAAAACAAAAACTTTTTAAAGAGTAAACACAGGATTAACCAGCCTGGGTTCTTTATTCTGAGTTGCCAATTACGTTGTGTAAGAAATCTCACTCACCTGGACGATGTCTAGCACCATCCCTGCTGCCACCGTCCCGAACCCGGCCAGCAAGAAGGGGAAGACCACCTGCAGTCCGATGGAAAAGGAGGTCTCCTTGAGGGGTGCTGTTGGTTCGGGGCTCTGATCGGTGCTGGTGTCATCACTCTCGTTGCTCTGGCTCGCATTCTCCAGGAGAGCATCCTCCTCTCGCTGACCTTTGGCATTGGCCCGACAGTCCATGGCCACCACAATCTCCGACCTCTCGTCGTTCTCCCCAGTCTCATTCACTCGCTCGGGGAAAGATGTGACCTCGGTGAGCTCAAACTCATCCCCGGTCACCGGGCTCACTTCTTCGGGGCCCTTGGTCAGGATCACCGGGTGGACGGTGCAGTTGGAGTTGAGGAAGGCCGAAGTGAGGGGGCCTCCCTCCTTCTTCATCTCAATGGCCCCAGAGGACATGTCGATGTCGGGGAGCTTTTCTTGTTCTTTCGACCAAAGTACCATGCGGAAGCCTTTGAAGACAGTGGGCTTGATAAGAAAAGGTCAGCGTGCCTCAGCCTAACGGTTTTGTGGGAAAGTCAGAACTGACCACCGGATCTGGTTTTGAACCTGATCAGTCCAACTGATTTATCCCATTAAAGAGGCCGACAAGGTGTGGAGGTCGGTCATAAAGACTGGGAGAAAAACACTCTGCCAGAAAAAAACCGGCAGCGAGGCACATGCAGCCGTGCGTCTGCAAAGCCCGTGTTCCTGTCGGTGCTTCGGGAGCAGAACCAGTATGTTCTCCATTCACTGCAAGGTGCTCAGGTTAGGCCGGCAAAAAACAGAAGACATACTGGTTCAACATAGAAAAGGATAGAAAACAACAGGGAGGGGACTCACCACAGAAATCCCCTGCAGTCAGCTGCAAACAGTCCTTTGCAGTTCAGTACAAGCTGGAAAAATATGTAAATCAGAGACCTGCAGTGGCACCGGTCATGCTGTCAGTCTGCTGTCCATGTGAGACTGATCGCTGCACAGGGCTCCAAACGTCTCACTTTACACCACGTGGCCGCTGGACAGTTTTCAAATGTGATATTTAAAGGTCTCAGTGTGAGGATTGAATTACCAACAGTGGAAAAGTATCTCTCCAACCAGAGTGGACCGTCACCTGGGGAAAGAATGAATATCATTAATTATTCGGTCTTAAATAAAAAAGATTTTCCAGCAATACTCCACGTCTATTTCCAAAAATCTCTAAGTAGCAGGGCAGCTTTTACTGCTCTGATCAAAATATTCATAAATCAAAAATTCCAAAAAGTTACAAACCAACATTCAGATCTAACTGGTGAGAGGACAGAGACACTGTGCGGTGGTGTTTAGGCTTGGATGTTGCAGCTCGTCATATTCAGATGTTAAAATAAATAAAGAGGACAGAAAATCACTGTTAGGCACTAACTTCACCGTGGGTACCACAAATGCCCCGTCAGCCCTACTAATAGATTAGTATAGCCGCAAACAATTGTTTGCTCTCCCCTCCATTACAGCAGTGCTGAGCAGAGCCCAACAGTGAGTTTAAAAACAGTTTCATCCAGCGCCAAATTTCCTCCCGGTGGCTAAAAATATTCCACCATTAACAGAGGCGCTGCGCACATCCTCTGCAAGCACAGCTTCCAACCACAACAGCGCAACAACGACCACTGTCACGATTTTCAAAGTAAAAAACACCCCTCACTTTACCCGTGAGCCCAGAGTGCCGTTGTTGTGCCAAAAAGTGATTGTCTGCCAAAAACTGATTTCCGGTATTTGCCAAAAACTGATTGCTCGTATTTAAACTGCTATAAGTAATTTGTTGGCCTATAATATGTTAAACATATGTCAAATGCATCCCTTATGGATGACATAAAGTCATCTTGAGCCACAAACAACTTTCGTGTAACAAGGTAGAAGCCGCAATCAGTTTTTGGCAGTGACTTTTATATAACCTTTATTTATGCAGTTAAAAAAAATCTCATTAACATTAAAAATGTCTTTTGTAAGAGTAAGCTAAGAGGACAGCAGAAATGCCAACAAATATTACAATAGTTCTGTAAAAATATTTTAAGTGGGGATAAAGGACCGGATTGGCTATAATGTAAGTATATTAACACAGAGTTGTAAAGATACTTGAAAAACAGATATTTTTTTTATTTCTATATGTAACCCCTTTGTAATCCCTGTTCACCGAAGTCTATTTATGAACATACGTAAAGATATTACACATAAAAAATACACAGAAACATTGGAAATCAGTTTTTGGCACAACACCGTCAGCTTAAACCCCCCAACTCTTAAACTCACTGCAGCAGACAGGAGTGTAACAAACAGTAACACAACAGAGATCCCCTTCACACATCAGAAACAACCTCACGTACCGAGCGTGGACACACATGTCATTCACACCGACATGAACTACTTGTATCAACAGAAGTAAGCAGCAGGTAAAGCAAAGCATTCAGTGCTGCTTTAATTAAAACAATAATGTCAGCTACTGACATACACTGCTGTATTATTCAACTCAGTGTGGTGATGAAGCCTGTTGAAAAAATACCACCACCAATCTATGACGCGATCCATGGTGAGATCAAGTCACGGTCCACCCGTTTTTACTTCACATAATAAAGCAGCTTTTACGCTGAAGGCCTTTCTTTTACCTTCCAGTGTTGCTGCTGCTGACTTGAAGCAGCTTTCCTCTGACTGCAAGTTGCGACATCCGCACGGACTTTCCCGGCTCAAACAATCCTCTGCTTAGTAGTCAGGACCAACACCACCCGAACCCAACATGGCAAAGGCGTAAATTAGTGCTCCCCTGGTCAGGGCTGAATAGACGAGCCCCGCTATTCTGTTCTGCTTCTCATTTAAACGAGGGCAGAGGGCTCTCTGTTCCATCGCCGGGCTGGAGCCCATGTCACTGCCACTGTAACCACGAGTGTTAAACTCGTGAAAAATTGTGTCCCCCCCCCCCACCCCCCCCTAAAACAGAGAAAAAAAGTAGTCATTCTTCACCATCACCATAGCTGAGGTACAAGTTGCGGCTTTGCAGTTTGAGTCCCGAATGACACATCCCGGTGGAAATGTGCACATTAAAATAAGTAATGTAAAAATAAATACATACATAAAAAAGCTCACGGGTGCTTACCTCTGAGTGCCAGCGGTCCTCGGTGTGAGGGGCGGACAGACCGGAGTGATGATCTGTATGAGTACAGGGACTCCGTGTGCCCGGCTGAATTTATCCTCCACCTCTTGTTAACGCGCTCAGGCTTGTGAGGCGTGGAAGCCGGTACGCACGCCTTATGTGCGGTACCGGCTCTGCACAGCTGATTTAATGGTTAATGTTAGTTAATGGTTAAGCCCTGCCCTCTGTGCGGCTCCAGTCTGCCCGTTGCATTGTACACATGCAGTGCCCCACGCCGCCCGGCTGCCTGGATGCGCATCTATAATACACGCGCACGGTGCAGGGGGCCAGGAAGCCACTAGGCGGGCCCTCCTTCCACAATCTGGATAGTCGATATAGACCCCCGCCCCACCTTTACCTCCCTCCCCTACATTACCGACCTTCCACCCCTCTGGTTTCCATTGCGCACAAGCCCCCCCACAACCTCCACCCAGTGCGTGCCCATGCCGTGCCAGTCTCTTCCACAAGCCACTAATTTACTACCACCGCGCGGAGACTGCAGTTTTAGTTTAACAGTACAGCTTGATTTCTCAATGAATGGGCTGGCAGGGGTATGAGTACGGTCTGTATGAGTCTGACCAATCTGGGGCAAATTTAGTCACTGATCCACCACCATGGAAAGGACAGCTTGCATAAGTGAAAGTTTTGAAATGTCACCAATGTGACCTAAAGCAGGAACGGTTAGAACTGATATGGTTGTAAAATGTGTAAAGATGACACAAAACCCCACATCATTTTAAAATATACAGAGTACTGCATCATTATTATGATACTACTACAATATTTATTTTAAAACCTGTAATGAGTAAAAAAAAAATAAAGGTAGACAACTCGTTTTATTTGTGGGCCAATTTCATTTCAAGTGGGCTTCGGTTCAGTTATATTAATGTATCACTTCACAACAGCAGTGTAACATTAGAGAGAGAACCCCAAAAATTTCACTGTTATCAGCAAGCACTTGGTGATGGTGGGGAGGACGAATGTACATTCTGAAAAGATTCACATGTAATGAACTATCTACATACATGACTGATAGCCTAATAAAAAGGAAAAAAAGATCTTAGGTCTCAAGAAAAACAAGTGTCCTTTCAAGATTTGTGACTTTGGTCCACAGCCCTGAAACAGAGATGTGTTGAACAAAGTTTCTAAGCTCACCTGTGGAGTTCCGCAAGGCTCCATCTTTGGGCCTCTTTTATGTAACACTAACCCGCATTAGAAGAAGCCAAACTGCTCTAATAGGCTATTATAAGTGATCTGAAATGTACATTTATATCAGATAACCTTTTTGGTCTCTTGTCAGTACACAGACCTGCCAGTTCAACAAAGTTAAAATGTTAAGAAATAATGTTTAATGGTTCTGCTTTCCTCCTGTCATTCTGAAGGTAGTGTACAGCAGGCTTGTTGTTGAAGGCAGCAGCTGCTGTTTATAAGTGTTGCAACACAGAAAGGAAACATAAAGCTGTAGCTCCTCAACACCAAAACAATAAACTCAAAGCTGCTATTGTACTAACAGGATTACACTAGTTTTTCCAGTTTAAACTACACTCACTTTGAAGGCATTTTTTCTAATTATAAGGGTTAACTGCACTGTTTTGCTACTGTTATTAGTTTTTGTTAGTTTTTGGAACGCTATGTACTACAGAAATACCAATACTCTTTAAGAAAAAAACAAAAAACAAAACAAGTGCTTGTACAGTATGTGTGGATGTGTGTTTATGTTATCTGCCTCCTCCTGATGTTCCTGTAGAACAACATCTCTAATAATGTCCCCGGAGAAGCAGCAGCTTTGTTGTGCTGTTTGCCTGCTGCTTTACAGCAGGAGTTCAGCTCAGCAGCACCAGGATCACCCAGCAGGCAAAAGCTGCAATCCATCCACACCCTGCCCCTCCGAGCTGAGCCTGTTTGCACACAGCAGAAACATCCAGTGGATGTGTACTTACGCAGGCTTGCAGGTGAACAGGAAGCTGCACTTTCACTCTGCGGTCAGATTACTCATGCTACAATTTGGCAATTACAATTTTATTCATTCATGCATACTGATTGCATATTGTTTTCCATGAGCGTCAGGATGTGCGATTAGTTTTGGACTTAGTGGACAAATACATGAGCGACATTAGTCTTACAGCTCTTGCAGGAATTCTTTCTTAAACTTAAAGATGTTATTAAGATTTTATTAAGTCATTTGTTGTTGCTTTGTTTTAATTTTGTCCGTAAAAGGCCAGATGTTGTCACCTTTCATGGCTCAAAGCTGAATTTAACCTTGTTTACATGAATGAGTGTTTGCTTTCATTCTGGATATGAAAGATAAAAAACTGACTGAAATTACTGAGCATTATCTTAAGAAGTCTAAAGGCGGGGTGGGGGTGTTTCCAGGAAGCAAATCAGTGCAACCAGGAACAGCTCTGTGATCTAGATATGAGGGGTTTTCAGATAACTTGGCAGAGCGGCTTCCTGTAACAGATCACGTTTTACAATTTGCACCACAATATTGTGACCGTGTGAATAAGGCAGCTGCAGAAATTGCATTTAAGCACAATTCACATTACTATTTTCTGCATTTTTCATCTATTCATTGCTAGTGCTTTAATGTGTACAGGCAACATACACACTGACATTTTTTGATGTCTCTGCTATGACTGGTGCACGTGTTGCAATCTGCGTTGTAGGTGGACCCACTCCTCTGTTGTTGTTACTGAGTTTTTCCAGCATTTATGTTTTTATCTGAAATTAACTTAAACTTAAAGGTGTTAGTTTCAGTTTACATGAATTCCATGGAAAATACAGTTTATTGTAGAGAAGCACATTAATGCTGTAACCTCCACTTCTGTGTAGGCACCATTAATGCTGACTGGTTTTGGAGCGATGTACGCTGCCATCCTGAGGAGGTTGGGTTTTTTTTTATGGGAAGGCCAGTCCATGAAAATACTGCAGTTACTCAGTAGATTTCATAAAACTGGAAGGTCCTTCACGATCATTTCCCTCAATTACCAATATTATACACCATCGCCATTGTCGACAATCTGGTGATGAAAACAGGATGACAGAATGATGAAAATTAATATGTCAAAGAATTCTTTTGACATACAGGACCTTTCGTATGCTTCTGGTCACGGTTTCACAAAAATGCTCCTTTTTTTCTCCTCAGAATCATCAGAAAACAGATAAGACAACAAATGTCCCAGTTCTTGTTTCTGTTATATTAACCAAGTGCAGTTTTACTGAGGCCGATGCTCAGTGTTTGTCATAGGAAAATAAATAAATACATAAATAAATATATATATATATATATATATCTGTATACATATAGATAGATAGATAGATAGATAGATAGATAGATAGATAGATAGATAGATAGATAGATAGATAGATAGATAGATAGATAGATAGATAGTCCATGTCTTCATACTGCTGCATCATCACCATCTCTGTTGCAGTGAAATGTATCTGTCCCTGCTTAACCCTGGAGAACCCATGGGGTCAGATCTGACCCCATGGGTTCTCCAGGGTTAAAAGCTGAATGATAATAGGTACTAAAGAGTCCTTGACCATCAGTAGTGATTCATACACAGTTAATGGGATACAGCAGAAACAGCTGCACCCATAATGATACAGAGATGCTGAGGATGGCTCTGCAGAAGATGCTTATTCACTGCTTACTCCACATGCACACACAAGCATCGTGATCAGATTTCGAAGATCAAATTCTGCTCACACACAAACATAGATACACACAATGTAGACATGACCCAGTCTAAAATTGGCACATTGTACTAAAACGAGACTTGCTGCTTGTTTGGAACAGTCATTCCTCTCTGCGCTTTTTCAACATTAGCTCAGTCAAAGTGATTGCTCTGGCAAAGCAGCAGAGACACATTGATTGGTAGTTATTAGGCTGAAATAGGGCCTCAGGTACAGAGAGGAATAACAGTACACGACATGCACGACATAGATTAAAAGAAGAATCACTCCAATTTGAAGCAGTGGCAGCAGAGAAAGGTGAACATAGACTATTCTAATAAATCTGTGCTTACAGTCAGTTTCTGTCATTAGCACTGTCATTTGAGCTGAATGAAAACATTTCCTGCTATTTAATAAAAACCACCATCATTAGCTAGTAAGTGTTATTCCTTGTTATGTTTGTACAAGTCCGGCCACCAGTTGATGGCTTTGTGTCTATTTTTTGTAGTTTCTGTTTCTGCAGATCCTCTTCAGTCACCACGACCATGTAAACATTTCTATACTGCAGCAATAAATTGCAGCAGCTCTGTGGGGGGACCCTCTAGTCTGTGGCTCATATTTGATGTGAGCACAAGGTTTCCAGACCTGTTGCATAATTTATGGAAACAACTTTATTTGCGCAGTACAGAAAAGTCCCTGTTGTGGGTATGTGTGTGTGTGTGTGTGTGTGTGTGTGTGTGTGTGTGTGTGTGTGTGTGTGTGTGTCTGTGTGTGTGTGTCTGTGTGTGTGTGTGTGTTTCTCAGAAGATGGTAGTGGGCATGAGAGCAGTGAAGTCAAAGCTGAATGAGGTTATGTTAATTGTCATTACCCTCGCATAACTTTATACATCTACTGCTATTAGAATACAGACCTTAGCTACACATGTTTTGTACTCTGGCACTTTAACTATGACACACATTAAGTGTGAAAACTGAGCTTTAATTTCCAACAGTGTAAAGAGAACAAACATGGAAGCTGTAACCCTCTTACCACACAGTGTACAAAAAACCAAACAGATGCATTTGTCATCCTGTATAACGCTACATTCTTTCTTTTATCAGCAGTGAAATTTTATTAATTTCCACTGTGTCATTTCCAGTGCTGTCGTTTTTTGGGACTTCAGCTTAGTTTGCCACTTGGTATTCTGGTCCTGCAAACCATACATCACCTTATCAGCTAGCAAGTGATAATTAGCTAGGTTAGCAAGCTTCTTGGTTAGCAAGCGCATGTGTCAGTCAGTGTAATGTTATTAGGAATGTAAAATCCCCCCTCAAAACAAAATTTTAAAACAGGAATAATCATCCGGAGCAGGTACAAACATGACAATGACTAATGCTGTCCTCCAGCCTTTCATCAACTGCTGTTATGTCATTTTGTTGAATTAATAAATGCTAAACATAAAAACTGCCAAACAAATCAGTTTTATGTAAAAAAAAAAATGCAGAAGCTTTAAATCTCTGCAAAGCGATGAAAAAACTGGCACGGTC